CATAATCAAGTTGTTGTGAAATTCATTGAAACTCTAACTCAAAATAGTTATAATTCTGATGACCTAAACCAAGAAAATCTTTTTAAAAGATCTGTTGCAGTTGATGCAATATATGGATCATGTCATGGGAAATATGTATCAGAAATTAATCTTTTAGCATCCACTATCAAATATTCACTAGCACAATCCAAAAAAGTGACAAATATTGATAATCATATAACAAGCGGAAGTTATTCTCACTTCTAAAAGTGGCTAGAGAGCTTATCAGTTAGAGAAGAACCCCCACCTGAAGGACTTCTATTTATGGCCTTTGACAATGAACAGAAAGGTCAAAGAATTATTTAAAATCATGGTTTTAATACTATGGTACATCATATTGTAACAAGTTTTGTTGCATTTAATATAGAATCAGAGATTAAAATACAACATGCACAAGAACCATGGTTGTATAACACACTTACACATGATCAATATAAAAAACTTTTGAGCCCTTCACCTCAAATGCAACAAGAATTTGACAATGAACTTTATCATTTTCTTAATGAAATAATTGATCAATTAAAAACATAAAAAATGCAATCATTTAACAAAATTGATGATGACCTTACCAGAAACATGAATTCTCAAAATGGCTTTGATAAATATTGCCCAAGTTGCAATGAAAAAGTCATAGAAAATAGAAAACAAATCTGTCCAAAATGTCAGGCATGTTTACCTACTTTAACAGAATTACAAAAACAATATGTGACTGAGAAAGAATATAGTTCATCAGATCAATCACAGAAACCACCTTTTTTTAAATTTTATAATTTTGACACTAAACCCACAACAACCTCTACTTCACAAATAAGTTTAACACAAAATCCAATACCTGATCAAAATGTCCATATTCTAGAAATTTATATTCCAGATCCTTTAAATATTAACCCTAATTCAGTTGCAAATGTGGAGAAAGTTCTTTATCATGTAGAAAAAAAAATCAGGAATAAAGAATGGATCATGTGAATGGATGGTTGTAGTATGTGATGGTGTTCCATATTATCATGCTACCAAATTAAAACAAAAATTTCCTTGGTTGATTCTTATACCTGGTCAATTACATGAAGAAATGAACATGCTTCATGCATGTGTTGAATTGAATCAGTAAATTTAAAATATATATGTTATTTATTTGTTTGTTTGTTTTGTTTTCTTTTAAAAACAATAATTTAGGGAATTGATTTTAAATATTTTGCAAAGTGTCAAGGCTACAGAACAGAAAATCAGCTTTTATATTTCAAAAAATGTCATAATCATCACAAATCTTGGGATTCTATTTGCAATATTTGTAATATTTGTTGACAAGCAATGACCTTAGGGCTTGTGTGGCCATATGTAAAAAGTCAATCAACTCCATCAGCAGAAGGTTATATCACTTGAGCTAAAGAACAAAATGATCTGTTTTATCAATTTAAATATGAACAGGTAAATATTAATTTGTCAATTCATTTATTACAATTGTATTTATACTAATTTTTGAACAGATATTTATCTATCTACAAGCAATCATTAATTTTAGAACAGGCATAAGAAATAACCAGCTTTTGTTAAGAAATGCAGCAAGAAGAATATTTTCTCCCATTTGGTCAGCAAGAAGACACCCCATATATCATTTAATAGAGATATCAGACAAGGTTCAATTAATGAAACTTCATCCAACTATACATTTAATAAAAAAAAGTTTAAGACCTATTTTGCCATATAAGGTTTAATTAATTGGGTTGGTTAATTAATATTAATATTTTTGGATGTAAACTTAATAGTTATCTATCAATTTTTTTTATTTTATTGCTATTATATTATTATTGTCAAGATCTTCGGGCATATATTTGTTAATTTAGATACTACAGTCAGACTTCTATATAGTCACACACCTCAAGACCACAGTGAAATTTCAAGAGTTTTGATGACTATAGCATTTGTGACTATATAGGACATTTTTTTAATATTATTAATTAGTAGCAGGGAATTTTCAAATTAACAAAAAAATGTGACTATATTATGTTGTGACTATATAGGAGACTGATTCATTACATACATGACATGTTAGTCAAAATTATTTTTATTTATAAATGATCATCGCCAAATTCAAAAATGCCAAAATAGTTTTTCATAGCCAAAATTAATTTTAATAGTGGCCAAAATTATATCCAAAATTATTTAAATTCTTTGATTCAATAACCAAAATTCTGGGTGGTTTTTTTTTATGACCATTGATATAGGGAATATGGAAAAGCCAGAAATCACCAAAATATTTGCAAACGCGAAACCAAATTTGGCTAACATGTACACTCGGCGCTTGATATAAGAAAGAGTTGGTTTTGACAAAAAAAGATCGGCAAAATTTTTACAAAAAATGAATTGCTTAATTTTTGCGACACATTATTACTAAATTCAATTACTTTATTTACTAAATTTAATTCTTCAATTTCATGTATAATACTTTTAAAATTTTTTTGCGACAAATTACCAAATTCATATTAATGTTAATATTCATGACAAATTACTAAATTCAAAAATTTATTATTATTTTAATACAATTACCGTATTCTCTGGAATATAAGCACCACCATTTTGACACGTTTTGGTCAACAAAACTGTGGGTGGTGCTTATATTCAAGACATTTTATTTCAGATAATTTGTGTTACATTTATATGGGGATGAAAATGAAAATGAGGAAGATGAACGTGAAATATTAAATAGAAATGATGATTCAGCTAATGAATTAGATGAATTAGAAGAGGAGGAGTCTGGTGACTCTGGGAAAGAATAGTCAAAATAAAAAAATTTCTTATTTTTTATTTATTATATAAAAATAAAATCAAATAAAAAATAATTTGAAATATATGTGGTGCTTATATTTATTTTTCTATTTTTTTGTTTTTTTTTCATTGCAAATTCATACTGGTGCTTATATTTGAGTGGTGCTTATATTCCAGAGAATACGGTAAGTAATGATCAACAAATTTTTATAAAAACTTTACTATATCGATCTTTATAAGGGGCACCAAGTAAAACTTCACCATATGATTATATCGAGGATTTATATTAAAAGTCACTATATCGAGCAGAATTTATATGGGAAATTTTCCAAATTTACTATATCGTACGATTTACTATGTAGTAGATTCACTATATCGAGCGCCGACTGTATGGTTCATTATATTATTATAAGATCTTGTTATTTTATTTTTTATTAAATAAAAAATTCACAATAACCAATAGATTTTTTGATATAACGTTGAAAAAATCCCGCATATATATTAATAGTTAAATGGAGCTTAGATGTTTCAAATGCACACCGCAGATCACCACCAAAATCTACGAATTAACTATTACTATATATTTATAATCAATTGCACACCACTAATATTAATTGATGTTTTTATCACGTTTGATATAATAATAAGTTTCTTTTTAATTGTTTGGGGGATGTTCGGATATTTGAATATCCATCGGACACTATCCGGCAGACATACATAGTAACAGCCACTACTACCATAATAATAATAATTAATATGACGGAGGAAAATTATTTGATTGGTTAATCTTATAGATAGTAATGATTTTAAAAGTAAAACTTTGTCAGCCTGCGGAAATAATCAAGATTTAGCTAAAGCAAAATTTAATTGATGAACTATTATCACAGGTCAAGATTTCTGGTGCGATTATTATGTATGTTTTTGTAGAATTAATTATTGGAAAAAAGATATTATTTTTTTAAAAAAATCAAACATCGTACTTTTCAGGTAAGACGAATATTTTCTTTCGATGCATGCAACGATAATAAATAATAGATCCTTTACAAATCGATAAAATCTAAATTAATGAAGTTGTACAGCATCCAAAAAGATTTTAAAAAAACGAGATAATTCGTTTATTTTGTTTATTTTTAATTTAAATTACTTGGAAATGAAATTTTCTTATGCCATTGTTAATATTAAAACAAAAATATTCGTAATCACCATTAATAGGACAGACCATATACAAACATGTATTATAAAAATAAATTTTCAAATTTTTCTTGCTCAAGATTTTTAAAAATTTACTTTGTTTCATTTACTTTTTCTTGTTTTTTTTTTTTTTTTTTTGTTATTTTCTTCTCTTCTTCCCTCTTTAGATTTAAAGAAATCTTTATCATTTTCATATAGCTTAAACAAATTTTAAATAATAATATGATGATGATGAAAAACAAGACAAAAAAATATTTCACCATTTCAATAAAAATGATTACTATAATGATGGTTTTTGCATTATTGTTATCAGCTAGTAGTTATTTTTTCATATCAATTTATTCCGCATCACATTTACCTTTGAACGATAATATTCCCATTCGTAATAACAATAACATAACAACAACAATTATCGAACCTACTACGTTGACGACAACAACTACAACTGATTCAACCATTTCCACTTTAGATTCTCCACAACTATCCATATTTACTGGAGGACATTGGTTTACTGGACCAAATATGATTACATTTTTCATAAGATTTGAGAATAACCAAAATCAACTAAATTTTGATTTATCTTCGATTGATGCTTTTCTAATTCTTGGCAACGAAAAGGTTTTAATGAATGGGGATATGAATGTTTTTAATGATCACGGTCTATTTACAACAGGTAAATTAAATTCTCTGAAAAAAAAAAACTTAAACTCTTAATCTTATATACTATCTATATATGTAAAGTATCGATGCCTAGAATTGATCATTGCCGTAGTTACTATTTTGAGTTATTTACATTTGATGGAAGTTATGATCGATGGCCAAAAAAAAACGTATTATACACAATTGAAGGTGATAGATGCCTTATGCCATTAAGTATGTTTATTATTATTACATTATTTTTTAAAATCTAATGTGGTAATTTGATTTTTAATGGGATCGCCATCGTCATTGCTATTCTTTGTTAACAAAAAAAAATTTTTTCAGATGAATCACTTGCGTGGTTTTTATTTATAGTTGACTTGTCGATTGCATTCTCCTATTACACTATTCCAGTTCAACTGATTTATTTCATAAGAAAAGGTTTGTAAATTTCTTTGATAAAATCACATAATTCTTTATAAATAATAATATATTATTTTTTACATATAATATAGCACCAAAACTACCATTTCCTCTAGTATTTACTTTATTTTCAGCTTTCATAATATTATGTGGAACAACTCACATAGTATCTGCATGGATGCCTTGGAATCAAAACTATACTCTTTCTGCAATAATAAAAGTATTTTGTTCCATAATATCTTTGGTAACTGCTGGAGCTTTATTAGTCATCATTCCTAAAGCATTGGAACTACCTCTATTAGCTGCTCAATATAAAGATGAAATTTCTGAAAGATTATTATCTGAAAGATATTTACGTAACGAAAATCAAACAATGTCCAATTTTCGACGTGTAATTCATGCTGTATGTGAAACTAATTTATTATTATTATTATTATTATTAATAGAAATATACATAATTTACATTTATATTATATATAAAAGATACGCGTGACTTTATCAAAAAATGTGATATATCATAATACTGTGTCTCAACTTTGTGGAATATTGGATGCTGATCGATGTCAAATATTTATAATGAAAACTCGTGTTGGTTGTTGGGAATGTGTACAAGATTATTTTAATCCTAATCAAATAGCTCAACAAAATTACAATACAACAAATTCTCAATTAAATCCAAATAGTTTAATGGTCAGAACTGTATTTAAAGATAATATTGTCACGCTTCTTAATTTTAGAGACACTGAGTTATATGACTTATACATCAATGGAAAATATAATAATTTGGATAGGGTAAATTAACTAATTAATTTTACTTTATTTCAATTAATGGATTTTTGTTTAAAAAAATTATTTTATTTTATTTATTTCATTCTCTAGACGATACTTGTTCCGATACCAATGCCAGAAAATGAATTTGGCATCATAGTTTTACAACGATGGAAAGTTGCAAATTTCGTTAAAGATCATTCACGTGAAGATTGGACATCAAATACTTTGACATTTTTAGCTGATTTAGCTGAACAAATCTCTATTGCTTTGGTTCAATCCAATCTAATAGAACAAGATAAAGTAAGTACAAACCTAATAAAAAAAATAAGATAACAACAATAATAACAATCGTCATGTTACATTTATATTCTTTTATTAATTTATTTAAAAAAAGGCACGTATTAATCAATTGGCTGAAAAAAACAAAGCCCTGGAATTGGCCAGAAAAGAAGCTTCTGCAATACATGTAATAATCAAATGGATATTTATTTATTTTTTCTTTTAATTATTATTTTAATTATTTATTTATCCAATTAAATTATTTCCAATGATTTTTTTTTAATTACTAAACAGGCACACCGTGAATTTCTTGCAGGTGTGTATTAATTTCCGTTATCTAATATAATAATATTATTATTATTTAATATATAAAATAATAATTGATCTATCCTTTTTTTTAAAATAATAATAATTTTAGTAATATCTCATGAAATGCGTACACCTTTATATGCAATATTTGCTTTAACTTCAATATTACTCGAAACGCCTAGTATCTCAAATAATAGTGAAATGAACGAAGTATGTGATATGTTGGAGATTATTAAAAAAAGTGGCGATATGCTAATAGCAATAATCAACAACGTTTTGGATTTTTCAAAATACGAAGAAGGTCATCTACATTTGGAACGGGTTCCATTTTGTGTGCAAGAAGTCATAGAGACTTCTTTGGATATAGTTGCACTGCAAGATCAAGAATCTTCCAGACCAAGAATTAATTACTACATTGATAAAAAAGTTCCTTATAATGTTATTGGTGATATGACTAGGTTCAGACAAATCATTGTTAACTTATTATCAAATGCTTGCAAATTCACTCAAACTGATGGTGATGTCATGATTAAAGTGGATAGCGAATATGTGACGATTAGTGATGTTAAAAAAGTCAAAATTATAGTAGAGGTGACTGATACAGGAATTGGTTTGTATTTACAAATTAAAGAAATATGTGCTATTTATTAAATTTAAATTTATAGATATAGATATTTATGATTATTTTTAAAATATAATAATAGGTATATCAAAAAAAGTGTTACCAAGATTATTTAAAAAATTCTCACAAGCAGATGCCAGTATAACGCGTAGATATGGTGGTACCGGTAAGAAAAGAAAATATATATTATCATTTTATCTTTTGATTATTATCAAGAGATCCAACTTCCTATTATATTTAAATATATAATTAATTTATAGGTTTGGGATTGGCAATAGTAAGTAAATTAGTTGGATTGATGGGTGGTGATATACATGTAGAACAAAACACTCGAGATAAATCTGGCACAAGAATGATGTTTTATGTATATCTCGAAGAAGACCTAAATTCTCTCTCATACCCAATACTATCACCAACTAAAACTTCAAAACCAATTTGCATATTGGAAAAAAATAATTCAAATAGAATTGGATTAAAACAAGTACTGCAACAATGTGGTTCTCAAAAAGAACCAACCTTCTTTAATAGTCTCACGGAACTTATTAAATTTAACGATTCCTATTTTGATTGTGACAATGATAATGACAATTTAAATGGCAATAACAAGGATAATAATATGATGAACAAAAAAATTTATTTATTAATTATCAATTTAAAACTATTAATAGATAATAATGAATTGGATTTGTTTAAATCGAAATTGAAAGAAAAGCTGTGGCTAAAAAAATTACCGATAATGATATTAGTTAATCCCTCATTACAAAAAACATTTAGAAATTTTAAGATCGAAGGTGTTAATATAGTCTATTCTTCATCACCAGTTAAATTTAAACCAATGTTTAATTTTTTGGAATGGGGAGATTACAATAAATTTCATAATAATATTGACGATATTAATAATAACGATAATGATGGTGAAGGTTACGATGTCGATGGTGGTGATAACTATTATTATCATGAAAATACTAGTGTTGATAGTAACAATAATAGTAATGATAATTTTGAGCTTGATGAATCAACTAGTTTTGTACTAATTGACAGCAATACAGATGAAAAAACGAAGATGTTGCTTGATTTTAGTAAATTAGATGATGATCGCAATGACAGTATTGGTAGTAGTAATAGCAGTAACAGTATAAATAATAATAGTATGGATAACATAAATGTAAATTTTATTTCTAATCATTATAACATAAACGATATCAGTTATGATAGTAATAGTAATGATATCCTTAACAACAAAGAAGAACGTATAACGATGACATCAAACAACAACAACAATAATAATAAATTACAAAACGGAATGTTTAAAAAACAACAAAAAAATTCATCGTTGTCATCAACAAATTCTGGAAGATCACTATCAAATAATCATAATCATAAAATAGTAAAAAAATCATCATTATTACCACCAGAAAGACGTTCAAATACTTTACCCAATATAAAAACCGCCAATCAAATATCAATACCATCATCATCAATAAAAATAATGCAACAATCATCATCTTTACAATGTAACTACTTTTCAAACACATCAGTATTGTCTCCTCCAAGAATATCATCAAATTACATAAATGGTAATTACAACAATAAAGATGATTTTGGATTGCCTAAATTAGAGATATTAATTGTTGAAGATAATCAAATAAACCAGGTAATAAAAATTTTTTTTAAAGTTGACCACGTCTAACACATATACTGTCAATCAATAATAATTTTATTTAAATTAGATGGTAACGTCGCGAATACTTTCTAAATTGAACCAAGGATGCGAAATAGCGGGTGACGGTAAAACTGCAATAAAAAAATGCGATGAAAAGATATATGATGTTATATTTATGGACATTTCTATGGCTGATATGGGTAAAAAATTACAATTTTGATTATTTTATTATGATTCTATGATGTTATTATTATTGCTAAAATTTCTAATTTCTAATTTTACATATATCTTGTAAATATAGATGGGTATGTGTTTATACATTAATTGGCGATACGTGGTTGAATCAAAGATCTCATTTTTGGGCAAAATGTCGCAAAAACTGCAATTGTCTACACAAAGAGTGTATTATTCTTTTGTGCCAAGGATGATATTACCTTTATGTACGAATAAAGTCAATGAAATAATTTTATCTGAAAATTAATGAATAAGACTTTTCTATGTTGAACATACGGATTTGGGGGTCTCACTGATTCATTCACAGATCGGCAATTAAATGTTTTATTTTTATATTTTTTAAATATATTATTTTCTTTCAATAATATAAACATCAAATCTTTTTTAAAAAAATTTGTTTTTAGATTTCAAACAACAAAGATAATACGTAATAATTGTCAAGATATGAAAAGACCTTGGATAATTGCATTAACAGGCAAGTAAAATCACCATAGTCATAAATCATTCATTCTTATTCTTATTGATAATAATCCATTAACTAATGAATTAATTATTAATTAATCAAATTATTTGTTAATGTTAATAGCAAATGCTTTATGGCATGATAGATTAAATTGTATTGAGTCAGGAATGAATGATTTTGTTTCAAAACCTGCTAAAAAAGAAGATATAAAAGATGCGTTAATAAAATGCGTAAATCAAGCCAATTCTATGCCACAACAAAAATAATAAAAATGATCATTAACATTATCAACATTATACTAAAAATTAAAAATAATAATTTAGAAATTTTATAGACAGGTAAGCTTGATAAGCCAATCATCTTAACCAATTGCTTAAAGTACTTGATATTATACATACTTATGCATATTATTAATTAATATTCAATAATAGTTTTAATAAATTATATATGGGAGTTCTGTTAGGAAAAACGAACCTCGATACTTTTTTTTATTAAACACAAGTCCATTTTTAGAAAAACAAATACTTGTTATAAATTAATTTATTATTTACCTATATAATGGTAAAAAAAATTTTTGTATATATGTAATCAAATGGTTTTTATATTTCTTTACAAATAAAGAAAATAAATAAATCCAATCCTTCAAGTTTCATTATTTAAAAACATGATAATAGTTTTTTTCCTTAAATATGAAATTATGAAAAAATCAATTTTGTTTCTTGAACTTTACAACAATCAATTGGGGTTTGTTTTTTTTTATCCTGAATAAATAATAATTGATTAAAATTTTTCAAAATTTCAATAACATCTTTTGAATTATTTTCACAAGCTTTATGTAAAGCTGTTTGTCCATCAGAATCTTGTAGTTCAGGTTTTGCCCCGTAAGATAATAAAAGATTCACCACTTTTACATGATTATTAACAGATGCACGATGTAATGGCTTTTAATGTAATACAATATGATTATTATATTAATGGCGATGATAAAAAGAATGAATGTATAAAATATTTTACATACTGTTGACAAAAGTTGTGGTGTTATAACATTAACATTAGCTCCATGATCCAATAATATTTTGCAAATTTCAAAATTACCTTTAAGAGCAGAATAATGCTATATATGTGTGTGCGTGTGTATATTTAGAAATCATAATTAATTTAAAATAATTAAACCTATTTTTTATTTATTTATTTACCAAAGGTGAATAGCCGGTGGAATCGATCTCATTCACTATCGAACCACCTTTCTTCGAGATCATCGTTTTTAACCTAACAACATCTCCCAACATGCATGCATAATGTATTGATCTTTGAAAATCTAATTCGTCCAAACTTTGAGAATATGGATTTTCTTGTAATCCATGTGAACAAGATTCACCATCACGATGATGATGATGATTTCCTTCTTTCATTCTCTTGAAATGAATCAGTGTAACGATTAACGCAGAAACAGTTACACGATCACATGTTAATTGAGGGCTAATTTGAATTTCAAAAAACATATTAGCATAACACATTACCTCACTTCAAAGCAACTTTACCGAACTTAGTTTTTTGTGTTAAGCAAATAAACAAAATTTTATTATCATAAAAAGTTGAGCGACAAGTATCCAAAAACTTTTATCCGCTTATATCACTTTAATCAATCATCTTATAGGAAGAGCAATAATTTTTCAAATTCGTAAAGAACTTGTGCATGTAATTTGCCTCTTCCTTTCCGAAAAATCTAAAATGTGTAGAAGTATATTTCACTATTGGAAAGAAAATAAGGAAATGTTGCATATTACAGTCACGTTATCATAACATGATATCATTTTTACCAAGAAAAGGTCCTCGGAAAAGTAGACATTTTTGTTGTACCAAATGAGTTTGCCCCAAAATTATCAAACTCATATTTCACAACCCCACCAAATTCACTACAATATAAATAATATGGTTACACTGATAAAATAACTATAAATTATAAATAAAAGATTTTTTGATGACTTATTTATTAATTTAGACACGTAAAAATCATAAAAAAAAAAAATGGAAACTTCACCATTACAACAACATAAATTATTTGAAAATTTTTTTAACGCTATTTCACTTCCTAAACTTGTAAACCACTGGCACGTTCTTTTACTTTCGACTTTAGCATGTTGCATTACATTGGCTATTTCGAGGATTTTGTCCTCTTTTTTTTTTCCAAAAACCTATAATAGTTTACAAGGCGTTAGACGAGTTAATTGGGATATTCATTTTGTAAGCATGTTTCATTGTTGCTTGATTGTATATCTTTCATTCCCTTTGTTGTTTGATAAAGAACTAGAAAAAGATAAAGTATTTGGCTATAATACTTATGCTGGAAATGTTTATGCTATTTCTTGCGGGTGAGTTATTTTTTTTTTTAGTAAAAATAATAATGATAATAAAATGATAATTCTAACTATAATTATATACTCTAGCTATTTTCTTTGGGATGCTCTTATATCTCTTTATTATGTAAGAGAATTTGGAATTGGGTTTGTTTTACATGGTGCATGCTGTTTTGGGGTTTATTTATTTGCTTATGTAAGTAAATTTTCAGATTTTTATAAATTTTTTAATTCTAAACACATTAATTTAAAATTAATTCTTATTTTTTTTTATTTTTTGGAAAAAAGCGCCCATTTTTAAATTATTATGGATCAGTCTTCTTGATGTTTGAAATATCCACTCCTTTTCTGAATATACATTGGTTCATGGTATGCGTATATACATTCATTTTTCAAAGGATTATTTGGTTTTTGTCTTTTAAATCGTGATGAATAAAAAAATTTTTTTTTTGGATCAATTGATATATGTGTAACAGGATAAGCTTGGAAAGACTGGCAGTTTTATTCAATTAGTCAATGGTGTTTGTCTACTTTTATCGTTTTTCTTTTTCAGAATAATATTTGGAATTTACATGTCATATCACGCACTACGTAAGTTATTTAAGTTTATAATTTGAAATTGAGATTTAGTATGATTGATTTGAATTTATTATATTTAAGCATTTTATTTATTTTCTTTACTTTGTAATATAGAATCAGTTCTACCAGTAATTTCTAAAATTCCAACATCATTATGTTTAATTTATGGAGTATCTAATATTATATTGAATCTTTTGAATATAATTTGGTTCAAGAAGATGATCGATGCATTACTTAAGAGATTCGGTTCTAATGATAAAGTAGAAGTCAAGAAACATCTTAAATCTAAAGAAATATCATATCACAATACCGTAACTTACTCTGCAACAAAAATTGAGACTAAATCAAAAAGTGCTTGATTTTATTTACCAATTAATTATAACAACATACCATATTTTTTAAAACAGTGCTTCATTGGAATGGGTTTATTATTAAACCATATTTATTGATTTGTCATTCTTTTAGAAAGTATTAATTTTTAAAGATTATATAGATTCATGTCAAATTGACATTTTAAATTTATCAAAAATCCATTGTAATATAACGATACTAATGCATCCATATATATATATTATATATATTAATTAATAATTACATAAAATTTATCATCCTTTCCTTGTGGAATTTTTTATTTGTTTTTTGTGCTTTGTGTTCCTTGAACAATTGCAGATAATTGATTTGCTGTTGAATCTATCCATTGCACTGTACTTAAATGTGAATTAAGTATTTTGACAACTTGATTCATCTAAATAAACAAACATGCGTGTGTGTATATACACATTTCGTTAGATGAAATTTTTTAAAAAAAATAAATAATAAATTATTAAACTTCACTGGTTCATCAGATTCATCATCGGACTCATCTTGGTGTTCCAAAGACATGTTAGAAAATGAAGATGACAAGTTTTTGTTAACATCTTTGATTATCATAGATACTGTTTCATTCATCTCATTTAATTCCTGATTAAGAATCCTTGAAAGTTCATAACTATTTTTTAAAAATAAAACAAATAAATAAATAATACAATAATCAGAATTGTTAAAAGAGAAAGAAATATAAAGATACGTTTACTTACTACTTTTCTCTTTCATCATCCAATGAGCTAAATTCATTTTCTTTATCTTCAGAATTTGTATCAAATTCATTCAGAATATTTTCAAGTTCTTTTTGTCTGTTTTCCATTGCAGTCAAATTTTCAGCAATATTATTCTGAAAATGTTTAACTCTATCTGTTTTTTCAGTAAGTTTTACTATCTATAATTTCATAAAAATCTGTTAAAACATGAATTATTAAATAATTCACACATAGATTATTTTTATTATTATGGTTGTTGTTATTTTAGTAGTGGTTATTAATAATACCTTTTGACTATTTTCATTAATCTTTTGATCCCAGTGATAAACTTCTTTTACTTGATTATGAAATTTTTTAATATAATTATCAAGGTCTTTTGATGACTTGCTTATTACATCTTCTAAACTGTAATCATCTATTGAAAAGTCAAGATTTGAGTAAGTATTCATATTGGATGATTTTATTTTTTAAATTGAAGATCAATCAAAATAAAATTTTCACACAAAATGTCTTCCGATTTTTATCAAATTCATCATCTTTAAATCTGGGAATTCGACAAAAGCTTCACAAAAAGAACTTATAAAATTTTTAAAAAGGTGAAAATGAAAGAAGGCGTCTTCAAGAATCCATTCACACTTTTACTGATCTATGTTGGGACAAATGCATTACCAAGATTGGTAATAAAATTGAACATGGTGAAGAAACTTGCTTAACAAATCGTGTTGAAGGATTTTTTGGATACAAGTATGTTTATTAAGAGACTAGAAAAAACAAAAATCAACTTTAAAGCATTAGAGAAAATGTGAATTTTAAAAAGGTAAAGTTTTTGTTTTTTGGGGTTTTTTTAAACAAAAGAATTTGTTAAATGTAATATATTAACAATAACATTTAAATCTATTAGATATTAAATATATTTACAAGATAATGATAACAACATATATAACAGATAATTAGATTAATGATTTGTTCATTTTTATAAACTTTTTTGTCATTATATACATATTTAATAATTAATTTTTTTCAATCATTAATTTAATACATTCTATAATGTCATCCATCACTTGATAGATAATTTTCAAGAGAAAGCCAAATAAATTTCTTTTTTTTGAAAAAAGAGAGAATTGAATAATAATAATAATATCAAAAAAAGAACATGTTAAAATTCAATTCTTCATCTGGGTCTGGGTCTAACATGGAGTAAACTTTGGATTATTGCTCATGGTAGGTGTGAATCTGATCTAATTGTTGATTGTGTTAAAGGTGTGGCTGGTATTGTATTAATAATAAGATATTATTGTTAATCAGTATTCTTGTAATTAAGAACAGTGCTGTCTAATGCAATAGCAGAACTTGAGTGTAAAGGCAGAGGTGATGGTGATGATGATGTGCCAATATTTTTAGTAAATCTATCAGCAGATGAAGGTATTATTGGTTGAAATACAGAAGATGATGAAAATTTGAAAGGAGGTTAAAATGGAGAAGTTAACTGAAATGCAGAAACTGAATACATGATTTTCTCCATAGAAATATCCATATAAATGAAGAATATTTAGATGCTTATAACAACAATATCATATATCAGTGCACAATGCATACACCTACCTTAGATTACTTAGTATTTCAATCTCTTTCTTAATCATTAAGTTCAATTATCTTTGGTATGTACATTGTTTTTAATGCAATAATATATCCACTTGTTTTCTCTCTCACTCTTCATATTGTCCTTTACCCCAAGTTCAAATCCAATATCAGAATTATTTATTGTCCAAATCTTTGGTTCACTATAAATAGTTGAGAACAAACAAGCGAGTGATTCACAAATTAAAATAATGAAAATCACCTAACAAAGGATGGAAAAATAGGTGTAGAAGTAGTAGTGGTGGTAATAGAAGAAAACACCCGATTTTCAAACTTTTCTATGAGAAGAATATTATATCATCATCATCATCATCATCATCATCATTATTATTATTATTATTACCATTACTATTATTAATCTTTTATTATTGATATTGACCTTTTGCTGTTGTTGATGTTAATAATAAATAATATTCTAATTTAAAATTTTAATAATGTATATATTAATAATATATGTATTCTCAAAATTGAGATTATCATTATGCGTGTCCATAAAAAAATTATTTTTACACAATAATGTTAATTCATTTTCAACAAAACTTTCACAAGTTACAACTCTTAAATCTTTTTCCATATCGTTCCTTTTCATCAACTATTAAAATATTTGTTATACGTAGACCTGGGTCTGGTTCAAGACGTGGTGGTCGTAGTGGTTTCGAAAATGATATCAAAGATTTAAAATTATACGAATTTGATAGTATAACAAAAGATGGATTTGAACTTTTGTTGGCACAAAGTGAAGTGAGGAAATATTTGCGTAAAGCAAAACATGAAATACCAAAACTTACAGGTGAGAGAAATAATACATTGTCGAAAATCATATAATTTAAAATTTAAAATTTATAATTATTTTTCTATACAAAGAATTTGCTGAAGCCTTTAAACCACCAACATCAAAAGAAATTCTTTGTTTTAAAAGACAATATTATATTGGAGAAGATAACCATTTACAAAATAAAGCCGTTATGACAGTAGATGTTGATAAACTTGAACTTTCATCAGCCGAAAAACACAAATTTTTATTAATTTGTGGACCAAGATATGATGGTGAAAACACAATAAAGCTTTCATATGATAAATTTCCAAATTATGCACAAAATAAAAATTATTTAGGAGATCTTTTAAATAAAATTTTAGAAGAAGTAAAGGTAACTAGTACAGGATATCTATTTATGTATGTTATGTGAGTGTAATTCAAAAAAATTAATCATCATCATTAAATATAGAATCCAAATGCAGATAAATTTGAGGATATTCCACTTGATTTAAGGCATATTAAAAAAAATAAAAAATCATTCAAATTTCCAATAGAATGGGTAAAAAAAAGTGAAGATTTACAAACACAAGAATCTACATCAACACCTACAACATCAACACCTATAACATCAACATCAACACCTATAACATCACCATCAACAACATCATAATCATTATAATAAATAATAATATTTATTCTTTTTAATGACAGAAAATAATTTTCATGTACTGTTGATTAATGTACAAACAGCAGATCCAAGTTGACGTTTTATATCTTCATTATCAATATCATGTGCTATTCATATATATAGGTTAAGAATTTTGTCAAAAAATATTATTTTTAAGATACATTTTTCTCACCATAGAATAATAACCAACTTTGTTATCATTATCACTACTAACCATTTTCTAATTGACCCCAACGCATTGTTTGTGAGATTGTTTCAATTCTTGCAGCTTTTGCAGCCTCTTCAACTGATAGTTTTCGTTCTACCAAACCAAGGCCAATAATAAATGATTTTGATATTATTGTAGCACGTTCCAAAGCTTTTAATTAATTAAATTTTTTTGTAAATCAATATTTGATGTAATGTGATATGATGTGAATATATATAATAATACAATGTAATAAGAAAAACCTGCTAATTTTAATCCATCAAATTTATTAATAATAGAATGAAGTTTTTCTTTGGATTGAATTGGCTGTTTTATCCCAATAATACTATATGTTGATTTTATTTCAATATTATAAGTTGATTGTATCCAATTTATTAATGGATCCCAATGTTCTTTTTGAAGATTTACCAAAGATTCAGGAAATGGTTCTTGATAACTTTTTTTTTAAAAATAAAAAAATTTTTTTCTAAATTCAAAGTGAATTCAATAATTATACAATTTTTTTCCAATCACTAATAATCTAAAGTATCAATAATTTACCAAATAGTATCAGTATCAAGATATTTAATTAAACCGGTAATTACTTTCTCTCTTTCTTTAGCATCTTTATCAAATACATCTATTGCTCTAGCAACTAGAGATGTCTAATTTAATATTAATAAAATTTTTTATAGTACAAGGTATAGGATCAAAATTATATAACAATGCATATAATATAAATTCATGAATTGATAATTACCAAAGGCAATGAATGATGTTTTAGCACAGCCTTTTGTGATTCCCATTCACCAGCAATCAGTAATGCCAAATACTTTTTCGTTTTTGGTATGATCAAGTGTGATCCTCCAGGTGTTTTCAATTGTCGTTTATCAAGTATTATTAAATAATTACCGTCTAGTAAGTAAACAAATTAATTAACTGATTGATTGATTGAATAATTTTGTAACAACATGTTAATAATACCTTGATTTTTTGTTATTGATGTATTTTTCCAAAATCTTTTTAATAAGATTTCAGTTTCTAAAAAAATATTTATAAAATAGATTTTTCAGCAATAACAATGTATACATGATATGCAAGATTCCTTGTGTATTGGACGGAAATAATATGCACTACTTGGTAGTTGATTCGGGTCAACCAATTTCTCCTGTGAAACTTTGTTAGCTGCTACAGTGTAGGTTCTTCTAAATAATTCCCTAAAAGTAGATCGTAAGAGCATTCTTATACTAATACAGCAAGATGTAAAAAAAAGGCCAATTTTGACTTTTTGATGTTCGTGTAACGTGATGTTTCCCCCTCACAAATAAAGTTAGAACTGGACGTCAACCATTAACATCAACTACGTTTGAGAACATGTTCAAGTCAAAACTTTGGGTAATAAAAAGATCAGTTATTTTATTATTGAATTCAGGCTTTAAGAGATTAATATTGATGTCAATGACATGCGAACTGCCAACGACGTGAACCGATACTTTCACCTTATGTACAACAATAAGATATCAGCGACCTATTTTTAGAAAAGACAATTAATTATGAAGCGAAGTGTTTTCACTGCCGGTGACGGAAATTACAAGAATATTATTGACAACTGGTCGGTACCTTCGTGATCATATTAAAAAATACCCTACAATGGTTTTGTTATCATTGATTTTTTGAGTTCATTCTCATCCTATAACGGATCTGCGTCTTTCTCTATTACTATATATAACAGACTGAAAATTTAAGCACAATTTACAACAGTCAGACGACATTTCACGCGATCGACATGTCTACTGTAATAACTATGTAGAAATTTTGTGCAACATGTCAATTTTTACTATTAAAATCGAAGGAACTTTTTCATTTGTCACTGTGAAATGTCGTCCGACTAATAATAATAATAATATTTAATTTTTATCACCACCACACCACTCTTTTTTTTTGTCTTTCGGGATTTTTAAAAAACGAAAAAAAGATTCTATTTAAAAAATTTTTTAATACGTATTAATTTATTTACAAAAAACGAATATGTATGTGTAAAATTTTTTACAAACTTTTATTACTTATCACAGATGTACCATACGCATGATTTTTTGCATAGTAAAAAATAATTGTAGGATCACAGTAATTATATATTAATATGCCATCTGGTTTTCATATGATCGAAAAAATATCTATATAAAGTTTATAATGCCCAATATTGGTCCGTTCCTAACCGCAGGGGCATGGTTTCATTCAGACAGCCCAAACCACACATGCCATCGGCACATTCCCCACTTCAAGCAAGCAAACCGCTTGCCTTCTGTGATAAAGTCACTCGGCCGGAGGTTTGTGCAAATATGCTAAGAAGAATTTGTTTCATTCTACTTGCGTGTTGATGTAGGAGTCCTTTTTCCAGAAGTATTTCAAGAAGTGTTTTTAGTTCAGGCCAAGTGAGTTATTGGAATCAAATTTGCTCACTTCAGGTACTTTTTTAATGTAAAACATATCCCAATCGGTAACTCCCCATTCCTCAAGAGGCTTGCTCCAATACTCTTAGAAGAAGCTGGTATCAGCAATGAGATTAAATAAGCTTATTGAAACAACAAGAGAAAAAGGTTACCTAGATAACAAAGAGATGGAATTATTTCCTCTGGTAGTCTCATTTTATTTGCCATTAAAAATTTGAAGTATATAAGCAAGAATGAATTATTATTAAAAGAATTAATTAAGAAAAAAGCTTTAAAAAAAATGGGATTAATTAGATGTAGATATAGAAAAGGAAATTTTGAAAATTTGGAAGATTCTCTGAAAGAAATATGAATAGCACGAGTAATTAACCAAATTTAACAATCAGTCGGTCACATAAATAAATTATGATGCGGAATTTCTAGAACTTTCGAATTTGTTCTGCGACATGTTATTATTATCGGTTGATTGAATCCACAAATTAAATTTTCAAATTTTCACAAAGATGTTAATATTTGATCGTGTCGTACTGATCATGTTACATTTGTATTACGTTTTGTGACAATGTATAATCAATCATATTACACTGATTACAAATGTAATCACGCTAAAACTACTGTTTCTGACTTAAAAGATGAAGATTTCGCCAAAGCTGCTGAGGAATGCAAAAACAATATTTCAAAGAATAAAGGAAATTATGATGATAAATCTGATTATAACTTTCTTAGGTTTTATAACTGCTATGGTTAAAAGAATTAAAAGAAAAAAATAAACTATAATAATAAGATTATTTTCCTTTTAAGGATTTTTGCTTTTTATTAGGTAATAATGCATCACCATGATGCTTTCTTTTTCCAACGTTCATTATTTTTCTTTCTTCTTGGTAAATCTCATAATTAATCCTTTCTTTTCTTAGATAAGCTTCCAGTGTTTGAGTATCATTTTTTTGAAAATGTAAGGAGCAATTTTTTCACCTTGTTCCTTCTTCAAAATACTTCTGATGGTACTATAATTCTTGGGTTCCATGGTAGACCTAATGTAAATTAACTTCATATCAACTATTTTTATATAGGGATGGTTCTATATATCACTTAACAAATGGGACATTATAAAACTAATTGTGATGATAATAACTAAATTTTGATCCCTGAAATTGTTAGTAATAACAATATTCACTTTGTCTGGTTTTGTTGCAGCATACCCCATATAAGAAAATTCGTTCTATATAAATAGAAAAGGTTGTATGATGTAAAATAGCCACCAGACTATACAATTTCATATATCATAATATACTAAACAGCATTTATTTTGTACAGTAATAATACTACATGTAGAATATTTTACATAGAATTTTTATTTTGAGTGAGGTGTAAAAATCAGCCCATTTGTTCTAATTTTTTTTCTACGGGTTTTTTTATTTTTGCCAAGTTGTCCTTTGATCATATCATTTCCTGGATTATTATCATTTACTGAATTAACATCAGAATTTGCATCTTGTAGATTATCATATATAATAGTTGTGTCAAATTTTGTGTTAATTTTTTCTGATATTATTTGATCATTTGAAGTTTCAGTTTTCTTCTCATGTGGCACAGATGATGAGGAAGATAGGAGAGGTTGGTTTTCAATCCTTGGACCACTTTTTGTTCTAAATTTAAACATATCCATTGTAGCATCTGTGATTAAACTTTCTTGTTGTTCATTTAAAGGTGGTGGTGATGGTGGTGATGGTGGTGATGCAATAGATCGAGAGAAAACTTTTGCATGAACACATACTTTACTTTTACTCAAGTCATTCAATCCTGATCCAATCAAAGGAAAATAGCAAATATCCACAACACAATCATCCAAACAATCATCATGCCATCGTCCTTTCATAACTTGAGTATTTATTTTCACATTATTTTTAAACCAATGTGCCTCACATTTTGGTTCTTGAGCTAATAAACGAAACTTGAATATTCTAACTATGTCTTTAATAAGATCCCCTGCCATGTTTTCTACATTCTTTCTTTTAGTATCATCTTTGATATAACGATATCCTGACATTAATTGATTAAGTTGCTGTGTTACAAGCAACATAAATGGATGCACATGTTGATTTTTTTTATTTTCACAAGTCACCTCTGAGAATCCAAACTCACCTAATATACCATAAACTTGTTGGCGTATTTTTGTTAGAATAGCTTTGATCACATTATTATCTTGTTTAAAATGATCATTATAAAATTTTTCAAGAAGAAATATTAATTTATTTGTATAGTATACTATATATTTTTCCTGATTATAAGGACCATTTGGATCATCATCATCTTTAATTTCAAGATAATTGTCTACACATTCAAGAGTTTTTTCTAAAACATGATGTTGTAAAACTGACTTCATCAAAATTTTATCTGTTAGATTTTGAGTACCCAAATTATATTTCCCATATAATTCTTGAATTTTATCATTATCAATTTTTATATTGCCTTTTAAAGTAGTAACATATCTCTCAAGATTATTCTGTAAAGAATTTATATCAGTTGAAAGTTGAGCTGAATTATTTTCATCTTGAAAATTTAATGCAGATTGATCAATTGAATTTTCTTTTTTCAATTTTTCTATAGCCTCGATCATAACAACTTTGTTGTGAATATCTGCCTCAAGCTCACTAATCTTATTGTCTGCATAATTCTTATATTGCAGTAATTTATCATTGTTACTTTCCTTTTCTTTTTCTAACTTTCTAATTTTCTCATTGAAGGATAGTCTTTCCTTTTCCTTTTCTGCATTCAAACTAGCAGTTTTCTTATCATAAAGTGCCTTAATTATTCTTTGACCATTAGACAAAGTAATGTTTTGTATTACTAAATTTTTAATTTTTTCTTTGTCTTGTGGCTCTATTTCATGTTGATATCTGGCTAATTCATACGTAAAAGCTTGATTGTCTCTAACCAATCTTTCATTTTCTTTAATCAACTTGTGATTATTCTCCTCCAGAATTTTAATTTCCTCAATGGTTTTTTGTTGATCTATATCTAAACTTATATTTAAAATTTGTTTTTCAATTAATTTTCTGAAGTCATTACGTTTTTCATTTTCTTTTAGCAATTCAATATATTTTTGATAATAATTGATGTTTTCAGAATATTCACGGTCGGAATTTTTTGACTCTGTTTCAATTTTAGAGGAACTTTGTTCTAGACGAGTATTTATTCAGTCTTATTAAATTAATATGACTTTTTAGTGATGTGCAAAAATTATAAAAACTCTTACCATTTGAAATTTGAGAGATCTGGCTATTTTCATTTTTATTGGTATTAGAGTCCATAACAATAGCAATAGCAGATGTTTCGGTTTTATTCCCGGAGGTAGGTTTTTTTGTATTATCAAATTGAGATTGCTTTATGATTGTGTGACTTCGTCACCTGAAAAAAGTCATGCAACACAAATTTTACCATATAGATAGATTAAATATTTAATATTAAATATCTGTGAATTTTCCCCAATATTAATTCTTTGTATTCCGTATGTATTCCCCAATTTCATTTTTGGGGGAGAAATTAATGGTTCTTATTGAAGCAAGTTACCAAGAAGATTGATTGTAATTTATACCAGCAAGAATCTAAAATGAGTTAATAAAAAGATAAATAATTTAATAATTTTAATAATTTATTACAATCTTGCAATCTATTTGGTAGAATACATTTTCTTTTATGACTAATTAAAGCATAAATTCTCGTTTCTAATTTTAAATTTAACGTGTATATATGTCACACACAACTTTGAAAAATTTAATTTCTGCGCTGAACTTATTTGTCGCCATCGAACAAATCATAAAAAATATCGAAAAAGAAAGTACTATTTTTGTGAATTTCAATATGTTCCAAATCTCGATAACGAGAATCTGTATTGAAAATCGTAAACCAAAGGGTAACAAAATCATTTAATATTAACATAACAAAGAAATCACAGGTATCAAATTTAGATTGTGATGTTAACTGTCTCACCGAGTGTTCGTTTTCAATCACTAATATCCTTTGTATGGCATAAGCCGAAGATTTATTCAAGGGATGTAAACTAATTACCGGTTTATTTTTTCTCTTTAGTTTTTCCCATATCACATTACAATTCTTGATAATACCACCGCCTTGTGTTTGAACATTATAAAAACACCACAGATTATCTTAAAGGCATGAAAAAATAGTCAATCTTTAAATGCTAAGGCTCAATAACTATATTCGGAAGTGGAGAAAACTTTATATTTTTATTACAATCTTTAGAGCCTAAGAAACAATGCTGTAGAAAAATTTTTTCATAAAAAAAGCTTTAGGGGCTTGAAGTAGAACGATTTTACTACCAAAAATGAAATTTGGCCAAGGAGATTTACCAGGTGTTGGATTTTATTATTATTGATTGACTTACAAATACAGTATAATCGATGGATTCAACCACTAAAGAAAAAGTTATACCAAACCAAGAGATCCAACCGAAACAATTAATTAATTAAGAACCATATATCTTGTATAAATGACCGTTCACATAAATTAAACAGATACATCAAAAGTTTCTACACGTTTCAAAATTGGTCTATCTAACATACAAGTCATTCTTGTATAATTAAACTGTATCGTTATTTGTATATATTGTATGTATAATAAAGTATTTTCGGATTAAGTGGTATTTTACACGTTGGTCACATACATATTTTATTTGATACATGGAATTCAAAATAGTAACTATAAAATTATATAACATGTATGTATTTAGATTTTACTTTTTTTAAAATATATATATATTAGAGCAACACCATTTCTATTCTTGCTCTTATTTTCTGATTATAATATGTTGCTTGCTGAAGCATTTTTGTGAGATTCGGTTTAAATCCTTTTCGTTTGATTTTACATTTTAGGTTTTAATAAATTTCCTCAAGTATATAGTTCTTTGTTTTTTGTGTCTTTTTGTTCTTCTATTTGACTTAATATGTCTTCGAATTCATACGTTGCGTTACTTATTACACTTCCTATTGTTGTTACTGAATCGTTATTTTGTTGAAACATATTCATGGGATTTCACTAACACTACTGTTGTCTGTTCCTTTTTGCAGCATGGTTTATATAGGCGAAGTTATGTTGGACATATTGAAATTTTAACTTTTTTGTGCTAGTCACACGACTACCTGTAGGTAGATAACGTTTTTTGTGTACAGAAAGTTTAGATAACATCACAATGGTTCACTTTTCATTCCCACGCTTCCTAAAAAATTCAGTTCAGGAACAAAAACTAGCAATCCACAATTCATTTGCAATTGCAATTCATAGCTATAGCAATAAAGAAATTCGAATAAATGAATGATAATAATTCGAACAAAAATTTGTATTACGAATAGAAATTCTATTCTATTACGGAGTCACCTAATCTGGCACACAGTCAATGATGTTCAAACTAAACTAAAATCACCATATACCACTACACTACTTGAGGCGTCCCTATAAGCAATCTAGTAAAACCAAAAGGGTTCCTAACTAATAATTAAAGGTTGGTCAAACCACTAACCATTAATTAGAAAAGGTTATTAATCAATCAATCATTAATTGATTACAGTCAAGGATTATTTTTATGTAAAAGTGTTAAGATTATATATTATTGAAAGATCAATTATTTATTGTTTTTATTACCAAAGTGTTAGGATATTATGATATTGAATGATCATTTGTTTATTAATTCCTTTCAATTTGTTCTAAATTGTTAAGAACATGTACCTATGCAACTACATGTTTATTTTTATACCATACATCTTTCTTTTTTTATGCTACGTGGATATGTTTATTGTCATGTCATCCATGCTGCAATGTTAATATACGTTCCTACGCCCATCATTGATTGTTGTTGTTGTCAATCAATGTGTTTGAAATTGTTAAGAACACGTGTATATGCAACTACGTGTTTATTTAGTACAACGCATGTTGTTGGACTTTGACGAACAGCTGATGATATCAATTCTCTCATCTGCAACAACTTACCGTTCGATGGTGAATGCTCTGATACTATTGTATCTTTGTCTGTGAATGCCTTTAACCATGAAGTGTTTGACAATAGTGATGATCAGTTGAATTTTAAGCACCATACCAATCTTCCAAAGGCTATCACATTGCAGGAGGGTGCTCGCATAATGTTCCTAAATAATAAATTGTTTGAACATGGAATATGTAATGGGACAATAGGAGTAATCATCAGGTATTGATGATGGTAATGATGAGGTCGCATTCCCCACGGCTAACAATATTGTAAAGATAAATGTTCAAAGAGAAATCACATACTTCATTATAAATGGAATACCAGCATCCAGGAAGCAATTCCCAATTCAGAATGCATTTGCACTCACTGTTCACAAGACACAAGGCCTTACACTACCACACTCAACTGTATCCATTGATGAAAATATGTTTGCCACAGGACAGATCTATGTGACGATGAGTGGGACACCTTCATGGGATTCTCTGGATATATTATCTTTTAATTTTGGTTGCATAAAGGTAGATAGACATGTTATTGATGAGTAAAAAAGGTTAAATCTCTTGAACCAAAATGGCTTGAAAGAATTGATGTAACAAAAAAATCATTAGAAAATTTGTTTTCAATTAATTATCAACGTAATAAATAAATAAATAAATAAATAAATAAAAATTGTTTTTCATTTTCACCTATCAAAAAATTATGCAATCAGAAATTAATATTATGATAATCATAAATATTATATTTGTATGTAGTAGTCCTGCTCTAAGCCTAAAATCACCATCATCAAATCTATCATCTTTGAATGAATTAAATACTGTTAATTCTCAAACTCATGAAAAATAAATGATTTATGAGGAGAAAGTAAAAGGAATATTGCTTGGAGGTATTTTAAACAAGAAGGCGATGCTGTGGAATATCAAGCAACTCTAAAGCAAAGTGATAAAAGAAATTATGTGTGGAAAAGGATTGATGGCTAATAATTAAAATTAATTTTTTTGCACTAAAATAATAATAATAATTTTCGAGTATGTTTTTCTGCGAATTCAGAAACGTAAATGAAAATCTCGATGGTAAACTTGTTACCTGAATTACAATAATTCAGCATTGCGTAAATAAATTCGGTATGACATTCTAAAAGTCGTAAAAGTCTTAGATCGCAAAACTGTAATGCTGTAATTGTTTACAGTTGCAAGCGTGCGATCTGAGTTATTGGAGTCACCAAATCTGGCAAACTAAATTAAAATCACTACATACAACTGTAGTGCTTGATTAGGATTTCTATTCGAATAGAGTTTATTCAAATTATTTATTTTATTCGCTATGAAAGAATAAAATGAATAACGAATAATTTGATAATTCAATGATTCAAATAAAAAGAATGAAAATAAGACAAATAAACAAATAAAATAAATAATTCGATCGATAATTTAAATAAAATAAATAAACGAATAATTCAAATAGAATGAATAGTTCAAATAAAGCAAATAAAAAGAATAAACGAATAGTTCGAAATAAAACGAATAATTTGAGTAAAACGAATATTTCAAAACAAAACGAATAAACGAATAGTTCGAATAAAACTAATAATTCGAACAAAACAAATAGTTCGAATAAACGAATAAACGGATATTTTGAAATAAAATAAAATGAATGATAAAACAAATAAAACAAATAAACGAAATAAAATGAATAATTTGGGCAAAACGAATATTCGAATAAACGAACGACAACAATTCGAATAATAAACGAATGATGATAACTCGAATAATAAATGAATGATAACAACTCGAATAATAAACGAAGTTGACTGCAATAATGGTTCAACAAGTAAATTGAAATGATTAGATATGGGCTTTTTATTTGATAATATATTTTTAATAATATATTAATATATATTATATATATGATGTATTGATAGGCACTATAAAAAAATGAAAATAAATAATGCTGCAATTATGTATATCTATGATTATTAATAATTACATTTATTTTTTGTCAAAATCATTATATGTCCCACGACTATTAATAAAATACTATAAAATACCCAACTTTGAACACTAATAACTTTTTTAAAAATTATGTTAATACAGAAAGTAAACTGATAAAATAAAAGAACATTTCTCATTCTTTCAGTTTATCAGTTTACTTTTTGGCTGTAACACAAATTGAAGGACTAGATGCAGTTAGAAGTTATGCTATAATTGTTGATGACTCTAAATGATCAGCACCATATCATTTGGTTATCCTATAATAACAAGTAAACCTTATTACACTAAATCAGGAAGATCCAAATCCTCCCTATAGCTAATTGTGGCTTCATAGAAAGTC